AAATGGCAAGAATCAATAATTGTTTTAAATTAAAATAGTGCAGTAATTAAATTTGGAAAAAAAGGGTTTGCATAATAATAAATAGTAAATTAATGAAAATAGAATTTAAATAAAACAATTGATTTCTTAATTCGAATGCAATTTCACTTATCCTAACTCTTTAATCCTTATTCCAACCCAAAATTAACCAATTAAGCGAAAATTAACTCAAATTATCCTTATACAAATAAACATTGCATACATCACGTAATTTCATCTCTAACACGAGATTAAGTAAACTGTGATATTGGTTTCAGTTTATTAAGCATAAACAGATTATAATTCAACACTGAGATTAGAAGATGAAGAGTTAAGAGAACAAACGAAATAGAAGAACAAAACCTCAAAGATCTACTACATTCTCTTCAGAAAATCAATACAAAGATTTAATTATTCATAAAAAATCGAAAACACAGAAGAAGAGATATAATTAAAATCGAAACAAGAATTTAAAATAATAACAAAAGAATAAACAAACTTGAATACAAACACTACAAGAAAATCGCATATTTTCAATAAATTTTTACCGACGGATTTATAGCCATCGGAAAATGAGTCATTATTGACGAAAATAAAACATTTGTGGAAAGAGGTCTTACCGACACATATATTCGTCGGTAAATACATTGATAAACTAATAATTAATTACCGATGGATATATCCGTCGGTATAATAATAATTAGTTACCGACGGATATATCCGTCGATAAAATTATATAATAATTACTTACTGTATTCTAATAAATTAATTATTCACCTAATTAAAAAATTAAATATTTTTTTATTTAATAATTTAATTTAATCATAATTAGATTAATTTATAATAATTTATTAAATTAAATAATTTTAAAAAATATTTAATTATATATAAATATATCAAAATATATAAATATATTTGTATTTATATATTTACATCAATATACATTTATTTGTATATAAATATAATTTATTTGTAAATTATTATCAAAAAATTCTAATAGTTTAGTGATTGAAGTATCAGCCTCCAAGGTACTTTTGAATCCTCCAAGCTACTTTTGAATCCTGTCAATAAAAATTCTCTTAATCTGATAATAATTTAAAGTTATAAAAAATTTATAAAAAAATATTTATAGTTAAATAACATGGTCTACAGAAAAAAAAAATAGAACTATTAAAATATAAATTAATTAAAGAGAATAAAAATATTTAAAAAAATTGTGAATTTTTTGGGTCCTCACTAATTAATTATAATGATTTAAATATATTATAGATAAATATAGTGCTAACTCATAAAACAAATAAGTGATGATAAATTCCATCCAAACAATAAATATATAATAACAAGTAATGTTATTTTGCATTTCTTTGAATTTTCATAGTTTTTTTAAGTTTTCATCTAGTCCTCACTTGTATTATTTTTATTTACTTCTAGATAAATATTTAAAATATATTGTTAATGGATGACATTAATTAGGATTGTAACCAACACAGTGATATTTTTTATATTTATTTACATTAAAAAAAATACTTGTTTTATAAAATATATATACATATCAATTAAAGTTCCTAATAAATATTTTTAAACATGTATATATATATATATATATATATATATATATATATATATATATATGTTTTAATTTATGATAATATATAAAGATTTTTAAGTATTGACAAGTTTGGCTCTTTCATTTACCATCTCACTATCATCAACGTCTTGATCATGACCCCCATGATCCATTATAAATTTACACCATATGAGCACTAAACATTGAAGAGTGATTCATAATGCTACAGCAACCTGTTTGAATAAGAAAATAGCAAATGATTTGTGTAGTTCTAATTTAAATATAAAATGTAATCGATATAAAACCATATCAAATTACAATTGAAGATAATGTGTAAGATATAGATTCTTCCTTTGCCCTTCACCACTGAAGTCGATAATATATGTTTTTCACGTGCTCTTTAAGGTGACATGTTTGGTTAGAAATAGTGTTTTAGTTTCAACGCCTTTTATTTACTCGTTATAATTTGAAGCTAAGAATTACACTCCATTCGATGCAATTATTTACTCCAAAACAAGGAATAATGTTTTATTTTTTATAATTTCGGCTTTCGATAGATTTCTCCTGTCAAATAGACAGTTCGATAATTTGCACTTATATTTAGCCATGAAACTACTTTCATGGTTCACCCTTATCGAAACCTAATTATAAATATTTAATTATTCTAGCACAATGTATTGACCTTATTAAACATGTCAATTTCTTGTACTATTTGATTTCACTCAATTTCTTTTATACTTACATACAGTCCAAAATGTGATGTAGATGTTTATGATAACTTGTAAAAAGATGGTTTAAAAAATTAGCATAGAAATGGCATAATTGAGGAAAGATTGATTGAAGAGTTGTGGTGGGGTGAGTGAATAATAAATTTTGTTCCAAGTGGGTGGAATATAAACTTGGCTCCCTTTGTTTTGGCGTGGGAGCTAGCGACAGCACTTTGTAGTGTCGGCCCATAGTGAGACCCACTTGGAGGCCCAGATACGATCAACTCACTTCATCACCACATCAACTAACTGTACTCCAAATATTACCACCACAAAAACAATAAACCCCTTTCAAAACTTACGACAAAACTTCTATCTACCACATTATACCTATTATTTTTACTCTTCTTTACTTATACTTTAACTTTTACCTTTCTAATATACATCTTACTAAATATATTATATATTTTTAGAGTCAAACCCTATCTATAATTGAAAAATAACACTAGCATTACATCAATATTCATTATTAATTACAAGAGTATTGTAGTGAGGTGAGAAAAGATTGGGTATATACCGGTGGAGTTATGGCAATGGAGGAAATAAGCAAAGTAGCTTTCAAAGACATTGATTTATCCACAAATATTCTCATTTGATGCAGTGGGAATGGCATCAGAATTTGAAGCCATAATAACTACCACAAACCACATCAACTATCACTTGCACTTTCGGTTAAAGGGTAGAGCTACGTGGACCAACTGAATTATCCCTTTTTTTCATCCAATAATTTCTCATCAATTGCGATATCCAAATCAATGCTTCCAGTTTTTAATACCACTGTGTGTTAATATAAATTAAATAATAGTAAAATCATGACGATAATAATAATAATATTAATGATTTGGAAGGAAGAAAAAACAATTACTTTGTCTTGTTATGTTATTTATTTATTTTTAAGGAACTAGCTTTCCTTCTTATAACTCAAGAACTACTTGAATCAATGAGATAAATAAAGCAAATCCATATCTTACTAATGCATAAAAAGTTACATAGCATGACAAAATAACTATTTTATTATCCTAGTCATAAACGATTCAAATATCTTTTATAACAAAAAAATTGGTTTTATTATATGGAGTAAGTAATATAGCTGTGAGAAAAAAATAAGACGAGATAAATATATAATTAGTATTATTGAGTAATAAAGTAATTTACATAATTAACGATGAATAATTCTATTATTGCACTGAAAAGGGCCACCGACTAACGAAAACTGAGTCCCATTCATAAGTTTACATCAAAAGCATGAATTTGACTTAATTGGATTAAAGCAAGTTACGTTTAGCTTTTAAATGTTTTTTAATTATTATTCTCTTTTTAGAGTTTTCTACTTTAGTTTACGATGTATAGAAAGGAGTCAAGGATTATGGTAAAAAAGAAGTTTTTTTTTTTTAATTATAAGTTAGATTGAAGAGTGAAATTTTCACATTTTTAATGATATATTTTCTTTTCTCCTTTGACCTTATGACGGATTTCATATATATTATTCATATAATCAAGAAAAAAAACTCTCAAGTTTCAACCATAGCAAATTATTATTATTTTAAAAAAATGTTTTTGATGATTGGAGAAATTTATATATATATATATATATATATATATATATATATATATATATATATATATATATATATATATATATATATATAACAAAAAGTTAAATTATTATAGCCGAAATCAACATACCATTTCTTACGTGAAACTAGTAAATATGTTCTATCAGTGAACAACTAATGGCTATCACTTGTTTCAAAATTATGACATTTTTATTTTTTAACACCTTCATGTAATACTAAATATATTTTCAATAGAAACGATTCATATAAATTATTTATTATCTTAAAAATATAAAATATATATTTATGATATTACATTATTATTAAATAACTCATTATTAATTTTACTCCATAATCTAGATATTACATTTGACATTTATACATTCTAAAGTAGTAGATGATAATAACATTGGTTAAAAAAAAAGTATGATCATTTAAGTCATATGAATCTCTTTGAGTCCTACCTTCTTTCATCACTTATGCATAGAGGATTGTTAAACCATCGTTTCAGTCAAATTATAAGTATTATTTTTCTAAATATATGTAAAAGAACCTTAAATTAAAGTCATTGTAGTACCGTAGATAATATATAGCTATTAAAGACAAAACATGTGCTATGAAAATGATTTGTTAATCAAGTTGGGGGAAAAAAAAAGAGATATATAGTGACAAAGAGGATAAAGAAAAGGGGATATTGGCTTTGAAAGGAATGGCATAAATTTGAATCGTGAAGATATTACTTAAAAAAGAGTGGTTTTGGTATGAAATGGATATGGCATTATTTTTTATTTTTTGAACATAGTGTGACCCATAGATTAGGAATCTTTATTAATAAATAAAAAATATGGAAGCACAAGTTGAAAGGATTTGCACTTTTAACAAAAGGGATATCTTATGCTCTTCATTCCTTTATTTGTAACATGAGTTTATCCTCTTCACCTTTAGTAGCCTAAAGCTCAATTCTTATCCCCTTGCATGCATGCAGTATTCAAGTTTTTACCATTCATTCAAAGACAAATTATAACTAGATTTTATTCACTAATCATCGTCGTCATCATCATCATTTTTTTTTCCCCCTTATCCAAAACCACCATGAAAGGTTCGAAGGAGGCTAAGGTCGGCAAATCCGTGGAATTTTGTCGTACGTTCAGCATCATCATCATCATCATTGATTCAGCGTTGAGATTAAGGAACATGGTTCTTTATGCGCACATTTTTATCTACACCAGTCTTCGGTCTATGATTTTCCTTTTATCCAGATATTTAACTTTGTTATTGCTTATCTTGGTTTTGGCTTATATGGATGTTTAACCTAACTGGAAAGTGTGGGAGAAGTGAGAAAATGGGTCCCTTCCTACTAAGGTCCAGGTCGGAATGATGGAGTTCCGCATGGCTTAACATCGCTGTCCACATTAAAATATATAACCATGTCTTCTACTTTTTCTCAACTCTTCACTGTGCCTTGATGTAAATCGAATGACCCTATTATCCTCTGTTACGAGGAAACAACTTGTAATATAAATATATCATTTTATTATGCTCTTGTTTATATATGTTTTCATTAAGACAAACTTTTACAAACAACAATGCCTGTCTATAGTTACTCACCCAAACTAATCTAAGTATTCATCATGATAATTAACAAAGCATTTCGTCAGTATATAAATGAACAACCTTCTTTTCTCGTGATTTCATGTGTGTCTTGTAAGCCCATCATCATCAAAACAATTAACGACAACAAATATGAGTTATAGTTTGAACGTACATGTATTGTTTCAAAGGCTTTTGTAATTACAAAAGTTAACTCCAAACATTGGAATTTAGATTTATCCAAGAGTTGTATTTTTCTTTTATCCTCTTAATACTACTTAAACAATGAAGTACTAACAAATTAAACACATTCAATATTTTGAAGCACAAATTTATTTCAATAAAAAAAATAAAGTTCATCAAAATAATTATTGTTTCGTAAATTCCATCGGATCCTGTTAACTTGATTTATATTGATGTATCCGTGTGTTGTTAACCCGTTCTGTACACGTAGAATTTTGTTGATAGGGAAATATGTAAACATAAAAATAAAAATATATCTTGCAAATTTAAATTTGACATGAAACTAATTATTTACAAAGGAATTAATTTAGGGTCTTTATAGGGGAAAATTCAAGTGAATAGAGAAAGATATCGAAGTGACGATATTGGAGTTTCTTTCTTATGAAATGTGTATAAAAAGTAAACATTAGGCTGTTATTGTTAATTTGGTGGGTGTGGATGCTATTATCGTCAACCCATCTAAATCCCGAAAATTAGGCCCAATATGTGTTACCCTTTTCGAACATATTCACCAGAATTTATTTTCAAAATTAACAATGTTCATTACCACTTTATAGAAATTTACGGATAAATGCGCAAAAATTCCAATACTATGCTATTAACGTTTTTTTTATGTCGCTAAGATTTTTAATATCAATAGTAATAAGTTTGATATTTATGAGAATTATTATTGGATGAAAGCCCAATTTGATCATTGAACTTGTGAGATTCCGTCATTTTTAAAATTAAATATTTATTTTAGTTCTTGAATGTATAAAAAATCTTCTAATTGTATTATATTGTCAAGTTAAAAAAAAACAATTGTAAGGATCGATTTTTCAGAAAATCAAAGACTATTTTATTATAAATTATGATATTAGGAACTAATTTGAAAATTATTTTAAATTAAAGCATACAAATATTTAATACAAGAACACCTCAAATCTTAAATCTGGTGGTCGAAGGAACAGAAAGTGAATATCGTAGTTGGTTAATATCTTGGAGGATAAAGACTATCTTTTTTAAACGTGGATTTGAACTTCAAAAGTTGAATCATACACGTGTTCAGAAAAGATAATGGTGTTTGTCATAACTTTATATTCTTTTTAAGTGTGATTTACAAACTTGAGAACTTGATTCAAGTTGACAAAACTGGGATTATTCCATTACAACAGACCAACCACAACTTTGGGCTTCAGCAACAATGTCTTATTCAAAGAATCGGCATCAACGAAGATTTAGGGTTGACAACAAGGCTTCACTTTGGTTCTCGATCTTTCTTTTCATTCTACCCTCGAATAGAACATAACTACATATTACACACAATAAATGCGATTCTTTTGGTAGCTGATAATTACCTTCAATTGCATTGCATCACTCCTTAATGCACCATCTTAGTTCATTAATTCTTCAATATTCAATGTTCAACGTTCAAAACGACATCATTGCATTGACTAAATGTTAAAAACAGCTTTCGTGCATAGAACCCTATTTGAACAAGTTAGCATGCTTCACCGAATACAGAAGCATGATCTATGAGAATGAGATAACTACGTAAAGTTGTTTTCTTTTTGGTCAACACCTCTTATACCAAGCTTCTGTTTTTTTGGGTCAACGCATCTTGGACACTCAAGCTTGTGCTTTCTTTTTCTCTCTTCCCAATCACTTTCTATCCCACTACAAAACATATACCACCACTATCTGCTACAACAAACATTTATATAAAACCTAACTTTCTTAAATATCTTATACCAATAATATCGAATAGGTTACGTTCAAAAGATTAACAAAGATTCATTTTTCCACGCTTTCATAATGTAAAGTGGGTCATATATTTAAGGAGTGTGTTGTAAATACATTTAATACACAAAATGCATTCTAAAAGGTTCATTTGATCCACTTTGAGGTCTAATGGACCTTATTAGTAAATTTGTGGAGTCATGTCGTAAATAAATCAGAATCGTTATATTATTATTCCTGATAAGGTTTTCTTTTTATTTTATAATTAGAGGAGATCTTAATTCTTGAGGGCATAAAATCCAGTGGATGTAACAGGTCCAAGTGCTTTTTATTCGCATCCAAGAGTGGAATGAAGAATGGTTGTAAGAATTTTATGATAATTAATTGTAACAAATGGTTGTTATTTATGTTATTTGTGTTTTTTAATATATTTGCATGATCACTCTCATAAAACTAGTTCAGAAGTTTCATAATTTAATAATTTATATAAGTCATACTATTTACACACAGATATAAATTGTATCCTATTATTTAATGACCAATTATAAATAATTTTTAAAAGGTGAAATCTTGTATTAAAATCAACTGAATCAATTAATATAAAATTATTTTACTTTAATTCATATTTAGTGACTGTAACTAAAAGCTATTGGAAGAAGCAAAATATTCAAAAGAAACTATTTAGTGTTTATTGCTATTACGACAAGTTTTAATTTCATTAAAACGAACCAAAGTACAATATACTTCATCTCATGTGAAAGGGAATAAGCCTACGGGCCCAAATAACAATTTAAGCCCATAAATTTAGAGAGCCCTTCAGCCACACAGGGGTTTGGGTCTTTCTGTAGGCCTATTGCTGGGCTTAGCCATTTTCAGGCCCGCTGTCAAGGGATTAAAACTTTCCAATATAAATTGCACTCATTTTTATATTATTCAATAGTTTTTAATATAAAACTTTTATTATAGACTAAATTGCAATTTTGATCTCCCGTTCGTGATTTTTGTTTTTTTTATTATTATTATTTTAGTGTACCAATTTTAAAATATCTGAAATTTTAATTTAATCTTCAACTTTATATATATATATATATATATATATATATATATATATATATATACATATATATATATTTCTTTTTTTTACATTTTAATTAATTAAAATATTTTGATTGTATTTTGAATTAATATATTGGATATAGGTACAATTGAACCAAAACAAACAAAATAAAATATATATAAAATTAATAATTAAATTAAAAAATATATTTTTAAAAAAGTATAGGAATTAAAATCGCCACACAAAAAAAAACATAGAAAAGTCTACCCATAAATGATTAGGAGACCCGATTAACACGTCAAGAAAACACCTTGAATAGAAAAAAATAGACAGTTTCCACGGTATTCGTTTAAGATGTTATTGCGTAAAATCAAGTGCCTCATTTAACCCTCTATTAACACTTTTTTTTTAAGTACTTGCCCCACCTTCAAATCAAACCACATTAGAAAACCTAAAAGTTCCTTCTTCTTTTTTTAATATTTATCACACTTAATTATGATACAAGTTACCATTTTTAATGGTGACTGGATTGAATGTCATACAAATAATTTTTTTATTGTATTTAAACTAACTATATAAATGAATAAAAAATAACTATTATAAAAATAGTTATTATAATAGTGTTGAAAATAAATTTACATTAACTATAAATAATATGTATTATATTTAGAGCATTCACAATTATCTAAAAATATACTTTCCCATCTACAATATCATCTATTTCATATAAATAATAAGATCATAAGAGTTACGTACAATAGATGACAAATACAAGATATATTAATTATTTTCATTATAACACGTACAACCTACACATGCATTTTTTAACTTGTATATAATATCTGAAAATACATGTAATTTCATTAGAAGTATATTATTATTTGAAGGATAAAGTATTTTTTTCTATATATTTTTGCAACCTAACTTTTTCATATATTTGTACCGTCCAAAGTTTAATCTGTCCACTCCAAAACTTCAGCAACATCCCTACTTCACTATAATAGCTTAAGTTATTGACTGTTATCTCCTTCAACTTGGAAAACTCTTAGAAATATAAATAACTTACCGTTGGAATTATTGATTAGGTAGTTAAACTGATTAGACCTCTAGTTCTCTTTGTGACTTTCAGACTAAAATTCTAATACTCAATCTTTAAAATAGTGGTGGATCGCATGTAGCACGCACGGTTTGAAATGTTAAATTGAAACGTGAATGCGTAATTGGGTAATGTTGAAAGAAAGAAGATTCTTGACCGTGTCAGCATGGGAAAAACGCATGCTAAGCCACATCATTAAAGGCTGCAAAGAGTAAATAAGAAAGCTTTAAGCTTTGTCCTCTCATCTCAGATTCCTTTTAACAACTTCTAGATGCAATGTTAACTTTGTAATCTGTTTTGTAGTTTCGTACGTTATTAATTCATTATAGAAAATTACAGGATGATTAGATTATTGATTTTCACAATTTTGCATATATCAATACATGAATCATAGTAAGAGAACTAACCTTGATCCATGAGAATCTTTTTTTGATCTTTTCGTTCTCCAATCTCCTTTTCTAATCTATCTCTTTGTCTTTCTTTTTCTTACTCACGCTTCGTTTCTTGATGGTTTATCGTAAAAAAATTTATGACTGGAGGCAGAATCCTTATTCAATTCAATTAACCAACATCCATCAAATTGGTTATCAGTAAGTTAATATTTTATTTTATTTTTATTTTATTATAATTTCACATAATAATCAATAGGTCTTCATATTTTATTAAATATTATTATATTTCATATGAGCCACCTAATAGAATGAAATTAATTCTATCAAACTTCGCGTTCCTTTTCAACAAGGCCATTAAACAAAGTCAACAAGGCCATTAAACAAAGAATTTGGGAAAGGATTCCTGATGCTGACCGTGTGTGGTCATCACCTCGACTTTGGAATTTTAATTTAGGACAAAATTTTTATCTACTATTATTTAATAGTGGGGACCTTACTTTTCAAATTTCGTTTGGCTTGGGGTGCTTGTTGAGAATGAAGAATAAGAATATAGATTTTAGTTTGATGTTGATTTTTCTGCATCTATCTATTTCCCCATTCTTTCTTACTTTATTCATTCCCTTCCAAATTCCTTATCTCTTCTTCCTCCCTCTTTTTCCGCATTTCCTTTCTCCTTTTCTATCAATATTACCCTTTTCTTTTTTTCTTTTATAATTATTATTATTATTATTATTATTATTATTATTATTATTATTATTATTATTATTATTATTATTATTATTATCAATGGCAAATGTATTTGTACAAATATGCAGGACATGTTAAGTGGAGCAACTGATATTTTGAAGGTTTTATTACAGAACCAAACACAACGCATCAGTGATGCTTGGGACTGATCTAGTGCTAACTTAGGAATTTTGGGATTGAAGTTTCTTTCATCAACTCCATATTCAAGGTGTTTATTTTAAAGGGGTAGATCTAAAATTGAACAAGAGAAATTTATAAACAAAACATGTTATTAGAAGTAGTTTAGAAAACATTTTTAAAAGAGATTTAAGTCTTGCTACTCCTTTGTCCACAGCCGTACAAAAATGACTTTTTATCTCATCCATTTTTTTTAATTAAAAAGTTTTGTACTTAAGAAAATATGTGATGACATGTTTTAAATAATAACGGTTAATAGTAATCGACATGTGTTTTATTTTCATCTAAAACTTCTTTTTTTCTCACGCATGTAAGAGTTTTCGAGAATGACGATAACAACGACTATTTTAGAGTATATTTCGACTACCATAAATATAACTTATTCTTGAACAGAGGTGATTATTTTTAATATTTGTTAAGTTCATTTACCTTTATGCATATTGTATGTTAACAGGTATTTTAATATCTATCTCCGCTATCTTATCAAAACATAATATTACACAAATTACGAGTAATGAACAATATTTTTTGTTAAACATTTCTAGTACTTAATTTGTAAGTTATTGTTTATATTATATTATATTGTATTACATAGTTTAACATTTAGGTAACTTAGTATTTTATATTAGTTTAGCTTTGTAACGTGTAGTTTTTAAGTAGTTTAACTTTTATAATTTGTATTATATTATATTGTATTGTTGTATTTAAATTACTGTGAAAATTTGGAATATGAATTGTTTATAATTAAAATATATTTATAGGTTTTGGTTGTAAGACAAAACAAACAGAATATTAAACAAAAAATGAAATTACGTCAAACATGTCAATATCTAAGATAAATTTATGTCGAATCATACTATAATAAACATAAATTTATACAGAGTATTAACACAATTGACGTAAATTTCATTCCATTTTTTAATATTTAAAATCTTTTTAAATATGTTTCTTGCTTTTTTTCATATAAATTAATGTCAGTTGTTCATATAACTAACATAAATTAATGTCAATTTTTATATTTAATGTAAATTTATATCTCTTCCATAAATATCGAACTTATGTCTAATATAAAAAATTAAAATAACATAAGTGAAAAAACCTATTAACACAAATATTAACTTCTACAATATTATACAAAGATTATATTTCTTATAATTATAATATTTTTTTTAATTATTATTAAGCTCATATTTATATTATATCATCTTCTCTAATTATTTAAAGTTTGTGAAGAGAGTAATTAATATATATATATATATATATATATATATATATATATATATATATATATATTTAGTTCGGGGAACATGACTTGTAAATCCACCCTTGTGTATATAAAACATTAGGGCAAACTTTTTTAACTTTACCTGTCACTTGTAAGAGAGTAATGTTTAGTTATATAATTACAATTTTATTTTTTTAAAGAATTTGTCACTTGTAAATTAATAAATGAAGAAAAAAAATCAAAGTTACTCCCATTTATGTAATTTAATATAGAAGATTAATTAATAATATAACTTTTATAACTTTAAATTTATCTTTTTATTTATTTATTTTAGGTTTAATGTTATTTAACAAGCTATGGCTACTTCACCGTAAAATACCAAAATAAATACTTAACAAGAAAAATGTCATTGATCATTTCAAATCTATAATACTTAATATATATATATATATATAACGGAGTGATTACCTATTACATGTACACAACTCTATAAGGGAAATATATGTAATAGGTAATTATCTTTTCCTAGGGCAGCCTTTTTTATTTAATTGAATTCCAAACCAATATACTTCAGTCTTTATATATATAAATAAAAAAATTAAATATTTTTTATTAATATTATTTATTATAATTTTTTACGAAAAAAAATGATTGATAGAAAAATTAACCATCAAAATTGTGTGTATATTTATAAGAAATCATGACTGCATAATAATGTAGGTTATTTTTAATTGGGTGACAAACACACGCTATATTGTTTTTAGTAAATGATAAAGTAATAGTATACTATGCACTTATGAAATAAATAAAAAAACCCCATAAAAATTTGTTACCATGTTCTTTTTCTTTGTTGTTTTATAAATATTATACTTAAAAAATAATTATGTTTAAAATGTTATAAATTTTTATTCTATTGAAAGTTTAAATTTTAGTTCATTGTTTCATTAAATTCAATTTATTCTAAAAATGTCTATATTAAATGTAGATATTTACTTAGTGGTTCATATTCTGATTTTTTTTTTTTTTTGTTATGTGGCAAATGGAATCCCAGTTCCCACCAACTCGAATGGTTGAACGGAATTGTTCTTCTTTCAAATAAAACCATTGCCACCAATAAAAAGGGTTCGTGAATCTGAAGTATTTCCCTTCAACCGCGTGAATGTGGTGATTTTATGAAGTTCGTAACTTTGACACACAAGAAAATATAACATGGACCATCAAAAAGCACCTTTTTTCCTTACATTGTCATTTCATTTTAAAAACATATATTAATTACAATTAAAATAAATTAGTTTTTCTATTTAAATGAGAAATAAGTAGATATGATTTTTTAATTGAAAGGAAAAAAAAAGAGATTAAAAGTGATAAGTTTTTAAAATGTCTTTAAATCACCTACGTATTAATAATTATTCCCTTTTTTAAAAAAAGAACATACATATTTATCAATACATTAACAAATAACACACGCACTAATATTGTAAAAAAATAGTTAATTTTCATAAAAAATAAATGTAAAGTCATATAAAAAATAATTTTGAGTGGTCTATAGGAATTTTTTATTATTGTAAGCGAAAAAGAAGTCAAAATAATTTTAGAGAGAGTATATAATTACATTCCTTTACATAGAAATATATATTTAAAACAGTTCATTAGGTTAATTAATCTAATTCAAAAATTCATTACAATATTATTATTGAATTATTATTATCTAACAATTATAACTTGTTAATTAAACTCTAAGAAAAGGTATTTATAATATATTAAATATTTTTTAATATTAAATAAATTATATCAAACTCTAGTTAATTAACACTTCCCTAAGCATTAGTAAAAAAGATTCTATAAAAAAACCAAGTGCTATTGAGACTCTTGTATGGATGAGAAACAAAGCTTGCCCTAAATAATCTGGCACCACTAACAATTGACAACAGTCTTCGCAAGAATCAAAGACCGTTCATAAGTCACTAAAAGTGAGCTCTCTTCAGAGAATGTTTATGCTACAATTACTTATTATAAAACAACTATTCGTAACATCACTTGTTCTTCTCCATGCTTTACAAGAACGTGTAAAATTTTGATATATTGGAAGTACACTTTAATTACAATTGAACAAGAAGTTGCTACTAACCAAGCAAGACACACAAAACAAGTAGAAAAGCCCCGTGGTCATGCAAGTAACAAAAAACACCAGCAGACCAAAAAGACCATTGGACAGTACGACACGACACGAAGCGACGACCCCTCTGATTTCACTGCCTAAAATTTGCAAGCCGTGTCTCAGGAAAACATCCGCAAATGTCTAAAATTCCATTGCAGAAGCAGCCAAAGACACCCGGACATAACCCTAAAAATTACAAAACATAACTCCATATGAAATGAAACCCAGAAGCAGAGTAAACCAACCATTTTGCATAGACAACGAAAGTTCACCCACTCATATAGCCGCCCAATCAATCTCCACCGAAGGGTACTTCTCCAACCCGAAACTCTCCATTTCATCCCACTGATAGTTAGAATCTGACAAATCCGAGAAATCCAAGAAAGTAACACCCGATTCAGGCGAAGAAGATTCCCCAGACACAGGCAAGGACAACGTTGGGTAGTCGTTCTCGTTCTCGTTCTCGTTCTCGTTCGCCTTTTCTACCTTAAACTTGTCGAACTCGGGACAAACGTTGGATTGCGCCACGTCGGACTCCACCTGTGCCAGCTCAGCAGCAGCATGTATCACGGGTTTCACGTCTTCCACCGAGCAACACTTTTTTTGTTCTTCTTGTTTGGCCAAGCTTTGGCAAATAGCTTGGAGCTTGGAGTCCACCGAAGAAGGTAGCGGCTTGTAATCTCCGAAGTCGCCGTAAACGAACGCTCCTTGGTGTCGCAGATGAGGGAAGTTGAGGCGCGCGAACTCGCCTCTGAGCTTAAACGCTGCCTTGTCGTACGCCAACGCCGCTTCCTCTGCGGTGTCGAATGTTCCCAGCCAGAGGCGCGTGCGGTTCTTCGGGAGTCTGATCTCGGCGACCCACTTCCCCCAATGCCGTTGCCTCACCCCGCGGTACAGCTTCGCGGCTTTCGCAGCCGCGCCGCCGTGCTTCATGGGGAGACGTTTTGGGCTCAGGTGGGCTTGGTTTTGACGGTGACCCGAAAGGCCTACGTGCTGCTGAATGCCGACTTGGGCCTGAATCTGGAGGATTTGGTCTGGGGTGAGTTGGTTGAGCTTGATTTGGTTGGGGGAGGGATATGTAAAGGGAGAATAATAAGAATAAGAAGAAAAGGAGGAGGAAGAGGAAGAAGGGTGTGATTGGCGTGAGAGAGAAGCGGATTCGGAAGAGGCAGAGAAATAATCACTTTTCATAAGAGACTCAACTGCTTTCATCAGCTCTGGATCGAGGAAATCCGGTACGATGTTGGTGTAAATATCTATAGCGGTTGCCATGTTCTACAACGAGCAAAGAAAATCCCAAGAAAAGAAAAGGTTTTCTAAATTATAAGCAGAACCTGTCTCAATGCCAAAACCGGAGAACACGTAGTTTGAGTTTGGTGTTTTGAGTGGACTCACTTTGTGAGTTTGGGTCTTGCATTAACACGGTGAGGCGTGGTGGTTTATATACTCAGGTTGAGGAGGGTGTCTGTTGCTCTTCTCGTCTCTCTGGGTTGCTGATGTTGTCTTTCATCATTAACTTGGCGCGTCAACTTCACTCATGCCTTTATTCCGTGATGGCTATCCTATTGCAAAATGCCACCTGTGCAATACCCCATTACTCACTGGCAGATGTCCACCCCAAACATCTCTTTACACGTGTCAATTTTATACTGGCAAGCTTGTCAATCGCTCTTGCGTGAGTTATTTTTGTGAAGGTTTTTTTTTTCAATTTTTTATTTTCAATAAATTACAATATTTTCTTCTACGGAACTTCTTACATATTTATAATAGTTGCAGTCAAAGGAACAAATGAGTTGAGTCAAGTATTTCAACTTCCGCTTTATTAGTGAAAAATAATTAGATGTTAAAGCTTTGCTCGTTTATTTAAACGATTTTAATTGAAAATTTTACTTGTTAAAAAAAATAGTTAAACTCTTTTGACTCATCTATAAAATAATTATTTTTCTTTGTTTGGAAATGTTTGTAGTTATATTTTAACTTGTAATTAGTTATTTTAATCTATATAATTTCTATTCATATGATTAACATGTAATAGGTAAATAAAAAAAAAACTATTATAGATTAAAATGGATCAATATTTTCTTTTCATTATTTTCCTCCCTTTGGCATCATCATCAAACACACACTCAAGATTATTATACAGAGAAAAACGTGAAGAGAGGTAGTTATCGGAAAGATGATGACACAATGGAGGTAGAAATGGTGTCATGAATTGCGGCGCCACAATGTTGACGAATGGTAGGGTCCCCAATCCTTTGATACAATTTGCAAGCGTTTCTTTTGTGGAGAGGGCAAGTGACTTTTGGATCCTATTCCTTTCATCTTCCCCAAAGGTCATCCTCCACCCATCTCCATCCCTCTATTTTCTATTCCACTATTTTTATTCATACAAATTTTCATTAAAGATGATGTTAAAATTATATATATATATATATATATATATATATATTCTTAAGCCCTTATATTTGTATTAGCGTCCTTTTTTACGAGCGAACTTTTTTATTTCCTTTTAATATTAAATAAAAAATGAGAAGAATGATGGCTAGAAATAAAAAATTTATTATTTATGGTGGAAACGTTGACAATATAGTAATTGAGTTATTGCCAGAACAAAAAAAATGAATATTTGAAGTGAGGAATAATTGTGAATTGAATATAGAAAAAATGAGAGTGTTTAGAGACATTCTATTCCAATCCAACGTTTATGTGGGGCCTTCCTTGACGCGGTCACACGTCGATTCCTACGTGGAAATCACTTTCAAGGAACGCAAAACAACTCTCCCCAATCGCACCAACTACTGCCATTTTCCTTCTTGTTTCTTTCTCTGCTTTTAATTTTCCTTCTCACATTAATCAACCCAGTTGTGTTTACAAGTTATGAAAATAGATTATTTAGTAAAAAAACTTTTATTTTGTTCAAACAAAATTCATCAAAGTAAACCACAATCACAATATAACAAAGAAATTCATATGTAATGATGGATAAATTAGAAAAGACCAATGAGTAGGAAAAGGAAAATTTCCTTCTCCCATGCTTCATTGCTGCACAAAACAAATTTATTATCATATGGATTGCGACATTTTTTAGAATAAGGCAGAGAAAGCGACTCTGACATGTGTGCCACATAATAATGCATCACCCAATGAAAGACCTTTTCTCATAGAAAATGCCAACTTCCCAACCCTTTATCAACTAATCAAACAAGAACTATGTATTTAATTAGAGAAAAAAAATGCAAAGTGATTCAGTGCATGCACGACAAAATAGGTTATTATTATTATTATTATTATTATTGAGAAATATAATATATCGTTGGTCCCCACTAATTTTAGTGTCGATACCCATGCTTTGAAAACTCAATGAATAACAAATTAGAATCATTGAAGAGAAAAAATATTTTAATTATCATAATATGTCAGCATGAAACAAAAAATTATATTTAATGTTTAATCATATAATATCATGTTGTTTATGCCAAACTTATCATGTAATATATGACAAGATGGTATTAGAAGACAATAGCAAAATATGTTTATATTATACTTTTTCAAATTATTATTTTTTATCTAAAATCTTCACAGATACTTAGGAAGTTACGATACAATAAGAAAGAGAAAAAAGTTTTGTGAAAAAGTATTACTTACACAGCTTCTAATGATTTTCAATAAAAGACTATTATTTATTAATTTATTAAGCTTAGGGTATTCGTAAGTAAGGTTTTTTTTTTTAATATTTTGGGTGGAAATTTTAAACGAAATCAATACACATATATTATTTTAAAATACTAAATTCCATTAAATAAATTCAAAACAAACTTATTTCTTTATAATAATAAGTTTGAAAAAATCATAGTGACATTGTTCAAAATAAATTGATATACTTTCAAAATTTAACTATGTTGACTAAATTAATTAACATCTTCAGTTATGAATATGATAATCAAAAGTGATAAAGAGAGATTAGATTATGATAATATTCATTATTGTCTATAGTGATGGCAAAAGTAGATTTCAATAACCATGTATTATTGAAATGTGAGTCAACTTTAATTGCAATTAAGAAAGAAAGTTGAATATAAGACATGGTTTAACTCTTTTTTTAAATAATTTTAAAGAAAAAAATGAGTTTGTTCACCCATTAAAGTTAGTTTATGTATAAATTTAAATAACTTATATGAAAAATTATGTACAAATTAATTTATATTGACTTAAAAAGTAATTAATTATTTTTTCTCTTAAAAATTTTCTATTAAAAAAAATCATCCAAATACGTGTTCCATTATAAATAAGGTGAAATGCAATACAAGAGTGGTTGGTGAATGACATAACAATAAGAGTAAGTATTTTAGACAATAATTCACAGGTCAAATAATACTTTCAGGTGGTAAGTGAAAACAAAATAAATTCCTCCCCTTTATGAACGAAAGTGTAGAATGTGTTTTTTGTGGTAAATATTATTTAAGAGTAAATTTTGAATGAATAATATTTTTTAGAAATATTATACAGTTACAAATTCACACAAAATTCTTAAAGTTTTATGAAACTATCAAGCTTAGCCGATTATACTTATATTGAAACTATAATTATGATCTCCTGAAGGACCATTTTATGATTTAGAAATAATTTTTTTTTTTTTAATTGACACACTCCATCTTTTGTCATGCTTCCAAACTACATGGGCCCATGGGCCTCGAATGGGGTGTTTATATTTGGGTTTCGCGTGTAGACCAAATAAATAAATGGGATAAAAATCCAACGAAAAAACAAAGTCATCCCCACCTAAATTAACCTAGGTAGGATGTGCATTTTTTATATTTGGTTCACATTTTGTGTTTGTTCAATTAGGAGGCGTTTGAGGTTTAGATAATATTGTATAATCATTTGTATGAATTGTTTTTTTATTAATCCATAACAATATTAAACAATAGCAAGTTAAATTTTAGATGACTATAACCGAAATTATTTAAAAATTTAAAAGGTTAGTATAGGAGAATTATTAAATGATAATCACTATAAAAACTTCTATGAATTTGAACCAATCTTATACGTTGTAATGAATTTTAGGGTTTAGGGTTTGTTGGAGAATTTTTTTATTTTATATGATTTTATTATAATATCATTTTGAATTTCTTTGTTTTTTTATAAATAATTTTTTTATATAATAGTTATTTTAAAAGTTACAAATTAAATGATAGAAAAGATATGATTTTTAACCATAATTTTTTTTTTTAGCTTTTACTTCTACTCGACAACTTTGATAAATTTGTTTGAAATGAAACTTGGATTTATATTTCTTTCTTCCCATTTACATTTATATTTCTATGAAACTAGTCACAAAATGAATATTTGTTATATATAATTAATTATTTCATAAGGGGTATGATAGTAGGAATTATAAGTGAAAAGTGAGTAAGAAAAACTTTTAAACATGGATAATCAAACACCACCATCAAAGTCCAGTCCATTGGTCCCATTCTGTTGAACTCAACTCTTTCTCTTCTAAAAAATATCTCGAAAACTCTTTTTTCTAAGATAGAAAACCTCATAGAGTATTCTTATATCCTGGAAGATGCTCAGATCTCTAAGACTTATAGTCTTCTTTTGAGTCCTTATAATATTTTTAGGAGACAAAAATCCACCTTTAGATCTATCACTCGTCTTCTTTCAATTAGAAGACCTCATGTCAAAGAGTATGTCCAAACCTCCAGAATGGACCAGTATGTCCTAGCGTTCACCACAGAAGAACAATATGTCAACATGATGTTCCAAGTTCGAGCACCTCCATATTCCAGTCGATAATGATAACGCCTGTCACCAAGGAAGACAAAATCCCTATCATCAGCGTGTGCCCTGATGGGAAACCTATATTCACTGACAAGATAAGGGGATAATTCATCTAGGATGCTGACCCAGACATGTGCGATTTTGACTGTGACTGTTGTGATCACTATGGAGACACTAATGACGAGGATGATGACGACTCAGATGATGATGATAACTTCAAAGGAGGATCCTGCAAACCTCCATTCACTCCTTCCAGGAGATTTGAACCTGGGAAAGGCCCGTGGATAGGAATTCACCGCTAAGAAAAGTCAAATCCCTTGTAAAAATACCAGCAATACGCTGAGATCCTTGAAGAGGAAGATCTCTCATTCTTCAATCAAGAAAGGTGCAGAACCTTTGCCATGCCACCTCAGTTTGCTCCTGTGTCCTCCCATTCCATGCATGATGATCAACCCATCAACTTACAAAGAAGAATTTTATCCGTTGGA